TCTGTTTATTCATTCTTTTTGTGTGTAAATATCATCTTTTTTACCTGAATATTTATACCTGAATAAATAAATATATATAAATATCTTTTGATACATTTTATTTATTCACCAGGGGCACTGAAATGTTAAAATTCAGTGGCAAAATAGTGGGGGGGGGGGGTAAGTTCCCCATGCCCCTACTGGATCCACGTCTGCATTAACTCTATTCTTTTGTAAACATTTAAGGAAGAGTAATTTGCAAGAATGAAATGGGTTTTCTCACAAACAAAACTAACTCAAGGCTGGTTCTAAAAAAAATCAACTTTCAACACATTCATAAAGAGACCAAAGACCACCTCATAAACACACTTGAGCATAAACTCAACTTAAGCTTCAATGGTGGTAAAAGAATTTTCTTGACTACCTGTGGGTCACTTAGGCGGTCAAATTTCGGGACTATAAAAAACTTTATACCATCAAGATGACCGGGTAAAGTGGCACCTCGGATGAGCAGAATGAACAATACAAGGTATGGAAATGTAGCTGTGAAATACACAACCTGTAAAAACAAAACACCAAATGCTTTTTTCAATTCATGTTTGCTGCATACTGTACTCAGATATTTCATTAAAAAAATCACATTATTAAAACAAAAATAATGGAATAGATCTATATTTTTTTAAACATGCCATTGTAATTAACGGAATAATTTCATCAGGTTTTATTATTCACTTTGTAACAAACTTCTTGTCAGAGACTCATTCAGAGGGGTGAATAATCTTTAGCTTTGACATCAAGGTAAATCAACTGGTTTATTATACAAAAAATTGTCTAATACCTTTGTAATGAGTCGTAAGGAATATCGATATATACTCACAAATTTTATTGACAGTATGAGTTGAACACTTCAAAAAATAATCTTAATTTAAAGAAAAAAAAATGTGTAAAGATAACAGAATACTGGTACAGTACATACCTTTCCTGATGACTTAATACCTCTGACAAGACAAAAGAAAACAATAAGCCAGGCCAGTAGAAGACAAAGGGCGAGTTGCCACACAACACGGCCTGGTTCATTCATGCTATCTGATTCCACCAACACCTTCTCCCTGCAGATCA